GCAAGCACCAGTGTCTTCTTATTCACCTTCATACTGTCAGTGTCCAGCATGGTGCCCAGCACACAGGCTAGGAAGAAAAGATGTTTCATAAATGGCTGCATAAAAGATGGTCTCCATACTTCTCCTGGTCTTAAAAGCACCTGCTACTGTCCTCACATCTAACCAGGCCTGTTTCACTCAAACTCTTTAACAACCCGCGCGGCCCAGGATATACCAAGTCAACAGGGACACAGTCATGGTGGCTGAAGCAAGGTCCTGGGCTATGCAACCACTTGAGTTGCTAGACTGTATTTGAATATTTTGACCATCCATCATGCTGGCCTGGTGCTTTGAAACACTCTTTCCCCTGCCAGCCCAAGTCACCTTGCAGAGCTCACCCAAATGGGGCATTTGCCTTGTTAATGCTCCTTTGACACCTGGCCTGTTTCCTGCTAACCTGTGTCTGGTGTGCCAGCCATGCAATCAACCTTGTTTTGAGGACAGGCTCTGCGGCAGGGCCTTCAGTTTTGAAGCAACCAAACATCCCAACAGAAACTGACCTCACTGTGTCTCACTGTCAGTGGAAACGATGCCACCAGATCCCCAGACCACTCCTGCTGCAACATGAGTTAGGTACTAGACAGAGTCTGCAGGGCTCTGCGTGTCAAACAACATGGAAAGGAAATGCTGCCTCCACTTCCTAACACTGTCTCAGCCCAATTAGGCATCAGGGTGAAGGATTCTGGAGTCAGCGCCCTCACGTGTAAAGCCAGATCCATAAACTTACATACTTCATTGGATTCATAAGAATTAACTGAGGAAAAGTGTGAAATGCTTAGAAAAACGACTGCTATAGAGTATGCACTAGGTAAATGACAGTCACTTTTGTTATCATTATTATTTTACAAAATTAAAGCAGTATGAACTTGAGAAGGGAATTTGCCTTTCACCAGCCACAGTGATACTGTTTTTGCAGCAAACTCATTCCTACCTCGGGGCCTTTGCACTTCTGTTCCCTCTGCCTGGAATGGTCTGCCCCAGCTCTTGGCACAGCTGATGCCTCCTGTTCATTCGGGTCTGTCAGCTCATGTGCCTCCCCTGACCATTCAAGCTAAAGTAACCCCCCCTTTCTCACCCCCAGCCCTGCCTCATCATCCTTGCTCTAGCCCCTCCCCCATCATTTCACCCACTAGATTTAAAACCATCTGAAATTACCTTGTTTATTTTGTCTCCCTGGATAGAATGGAAACCCTAGGACAGCAAAGATCTTGTCTGTATTGTTCCCTGACTTGTACACTGCCTATGTACTAGGATGTTCATCAGATGTGTTTATGAAGGTAAAATCCCCCAAACAACCTAAATGTCCAGCTATAGGGGCATGGTGGAATAAAGCATGCACTCTCCACATTTAGAAGAATGTGAGTCTAGCTGTTAAAAAGAATGAGTTAGATCTGTATGTAATGACTTGAAGGAAGATGCCCTATCAGTAACTGAAAAACTCAAGTTATAAATATATGTGGCTTGATCCCTACCCCTCCTTTTGGGGAGTGGTGAGGGAGAAGGAACAAAACAATCAATATACAAATATATACATCCATTTAAGCACAGTAAACGGTACGAGCATCCACCCAAATCCCCAAGGGCAGAGGGCACATCCATTTTGGTCACTATTAAATCTCTAAATCCTAACAGTAGACATTTAATAAATACTCACTGTCTGAATGAACGGCTATCTCTAGAGGAGGGATTGTAGAGTGGAGGGTGGCACCCATTGTTTTCCTTATACCTCTCTGTATTGTTTGACATATTACAAATGACCATGTATTTCTTTGTATAATTTTTTAAAAGTCTAATTCAACCCATTCTCACACATACATAAGGCCATGAGCAGAGCAGTACTAAGAAATAGGAGCAACACCAGTCTTATGGAAAGTACCATAGCCTCTCATTCTACCAGCTAAAAACAAACACTTTTCTTCAAAGGAAATGACTGTTGTCCAGCCAGTGTGGCTCAGTGCACTGAGCATCATCCCATGGACTAAGAGGTCCCATTTCAATTCCCAGTGGTCAGGGTACATGCCTGGGTTGTGGACTCAATCCCCAGTAGGGGGCATGCAGGAGGCAGCAGATCAATGTTTCCCTCACATTGATGTTTCTCTCTCTCTCCCTCTCTCTCTAAAAAAATCAATTTTAAAACATTTTTTTTAAAAAGGGAAATGACTGTTTAATTATTTTATTAAAACATAAATACATTTCATTTAGATTTTGTGAGTTAAACACCTAACAAGGTTACGCTGCTACCATAACCTGTGTCATTTTTTAAACCTAAGTTTGAAATATATCAGCAAAGTCTATTTTACAGGAAAAAAAGGGCACCTGGCTGGTTTTGCTCAGCGGTTAGAGCATTGGCCTGCGGTCTTGAGACCTGGGTTCGGTTCCTGCAAAGGGCACGTCCCTCGGTTGCAGTTTGTCCCCGGCCCTGGTTGGGTCGTGTGGGTGGCAACCACTCGATGTGTCCCTTTCACGTCGATGTTTCTCTCTCTCTCTCCCCCTCCCACTCTATCTGAACAAATTTTCAAAAAATGTCCTCGAGTGAGAATTAAAAAAAAAAAGGCACCAATCACTGCACATTCTAAATTCCATTTTTGATTTACCACCTAACAACTGCAATGTCTGAAAAACAGGTTCACATTTAAATCTTAGACCATTCCACACAGACTGCTAAAAAACCATGTGCTGTTGTCACTAACAATTAAGACCAAAAAAAATTTAAATGTCACTGCATTATTTCCTCAGGTTAAATAACACATAAGTAAATTTGGTGGCCATCACAAATTTAACTGAAACCACGGGTTCCCACCAACAAATGAAACCACAACGTCAGGTTTCTGACAACAGACTCAATCTAAATGGGCATCTAATAAATTCCCTTCCTAGCCTCCTTCGGGTGTGCGCTGCCTCCTGAAATGCCAGGTAGGGCCATCTTCCCATACAGAATATTCCAACTTGTTGACATGACTTTTCAGAAAGAAATGAACAACTCAGCCAAGTTTTGCCAGGCTAAAACCACAGAAACAGGTCCACTGAAAACAAGGCTTTGACTCCACATCAGTGGCCACTGCAGTCTGGCCAAATCCATATTATCTTCTCTGCTCCTCAGTAATACAGTGTTTTACATACATTCATCCTTGGTGACTTTAAAGAAACAACCTAGTCGAAAAAGGCCACCTCCAGCGGCTCAGGGAGACTTTCAGTGCCCACGAGATGGGAGCCCAATATCAGCCACAGAAATGGTGTTTCTATGAAATGGCAGCTCCATCCTCTGCCAATCAACTAGACCTGGGAAGGCTGGGCAACTGGGTCAATGTTGGTCCATTTCCCAAGATGGTGACTACTGGTTCTGGGAGAAGGGGTTTAGATTGAACATGTGGTGTTGTTCACAGTGCCCAAGGGACAGTCACTAGCGAACATCAAGGAAGCTCAGGCATCAGGAAGCTAATATATGACTTTGAGACAGAGTCAAGTGCTGACAGCACTGGGCTAGTACATAAAGCACTGGAGTGAATATGCTGGCTTGGGGGAAAGAGTGTGTGACTGAGAAGGAGGCTGCTGATAGCAGGTCAGCACCATCTCTTCTTGGGCCCTGATACCACAGTATGTTCCACATTTTAACCTTCGGTGAACAAAAATGGGGGAGCAGGGGGAGGCAATAACCTTGTCCCTGCTCTGCCCTATAAAGCAGCAGCAAAGGCCTACCAAGAAAAACAAGATATATTTACTAAGTGATTATTATGCACCAGGCCCTGTGCTTAACGCTAAACATGAATTATCTCCTGGGATCATCAAAACAACCCTGGCACAAAAGTCCTATGACTGCCACTTCACAGATGGGATACTGAGGCTGGGAGTGAATGTGTGGGGGAGCTCAGGGCTGTCATGTCACAGCCCACAGTCAGGCAGTCTCTGGACCAGATGGAGAACACTGAAGAAAAACAATTATTTTACATAAGAACTGTTACTTAGTGAGAGAACACAATCTCAGCAAATCCTTACAACCCTGAGGCTGATATTGTTATCCCATTTTACAAATGAGGAACATGAGGATGCAGGAGAGGAAGTCAACTAGACCAGTTTTGAATCCAGCCTACTGGGGAGACAAAGACTATAGCCAGAACCCTACCCTCAAAGGTCTCTGGGATACTGGAAAATGCTGAATATATGGGACCATTTATTGAGCGCTATCTGCCAGCTGCTGCTCTAAGCACTTTATACGTGATATTCGCAATACAACCTCAAAACTCTATGAGGTGACTCTTAGCGTCCCCATTTTATAGACTGGAAAGCTAAGGTACAGATTGGTGAACTCAATTCACAAGGTTGCACAACTAGTAAATGGCAGAGCCTGAATGTGAACTAGAGTCTGTCTCTCTCTGCCTCCCAAACCAAAGCTCTTATCAAAATAATTTCAGCTAACAGCAGCCACCCTGCATTGACTGCTAACTACGGACTCTTGCTTTTTACATGCACACCCTCAACTAACCCTATGCAGTCCTTAATACCTTCACCCCATTTCTCGGGAGCTAACAATAGCGCAAACGCTAATAAGTGCCCTCTGTGTGCCAAACGCTTTCTTTGCCAGATCTCAACATCTCAACAGAATCCCCAGCCAAGGACACATGCTTTTCTCCCCCGTTTTAGCGAAAGGGAAAACTGAGGCTCGGTACGGTTTCCCTAGATCGCAGCTCCGGAGTGGAAGAGTCAGAACACAAACCCACTGCACCCCGACTCCCACTCCATGCTCTTCGGCACAGCGCCGGGTACACGTCTGGAAAGTTGAGCCATGCGGGCACGAGCCCGCCCAGGTCCGAAGGGCGCGAGTCCCGGCGCCGCCGCCCCCACAACCGGTGCCCACACACGGCCGGCCGCCGGGTCACCCACTCGCGATGACCCTCGGGGTCCGAATAAACACCGATTCCTCGCCACCCTGGAGTGAGGCCGCCCCTGCACCTGAAACCACATACCTGGGCGTCCTGGCTATCCGCCTCGCGGGCCCCACGACCCCGACGTCCGGCCCCGCGCCGTTCGCTGGAGACGCCGCCAGCTCCGGTGGCCCGAGTGACTTCCAGGCTGCCCACTTCCAAGCCGCCTCGCGCGAAGCCTCCTGGGAAATGTAGTTTCGCCCCAGGCGGCAGCTAAGTAAAAAAAGCCTAGCGCGCAGGTGCTGCCGGGAGCAGTAGGCTTAGCACCGCGCCGCCTTCTGGGAATGGTAGTCCACCTGTCGCCTCCGTACTGCTCCAGTCTCCAGAGCACTTCCGCAGCCAGAGGAGTGAGAGATGGAGGCGTGTCTTCTGCAGACTCCAACCCGGTTGCCACGCTCCTTGCTCCGCGAGGGCGGTTTTCCCCTTTTTTCCAGCCCCGTCTGCCTCCTTCTTCCCTTCGGCGGACCCTCTCCCTCCGTCCCCGCTAGGTGTGAGATACTTACCCCGAGGGCGCGAGCCTGGGGAGAGGCGGGGACAGCACAGCAGAGCGCTAGACCCCCAACGGAGCGGAGCGGCGGAGCAGGGCGTCTATGCGCGCTCGCGCACGCGCGCTCGCTGGCCAACTCCGGTCTAAATTGCCGCGGGCCCCGCGGGAAGGACTTTTTGCCTTTCTAGCGCGAGCGCGGGCGCGCGCCCGCGGGGTCTCGCGCTGGGCTTTTCACTGCCGGCCGCGCGCCAGTGCGCACGCGTGCTCTCTCCCGTCGTCCGGGTCCGTCCGCCCGGCGCGGGGTTAGGGGGCTAACCGCTGTGTCCGCCCTTGTCCTCCCGCAGCATTCCCCAAGGTCGCTCCTCAGGCGCTCATTCTAGGTCTGGTCCTTCAGCTAGGAGCTCCTGGGTGTGGGCCGCCTCCCACGCCGTACCCGTCCCGTGTTGGGAGTCCTGTCGTCGCAGGTAATAGGCGCGGCCCCGGGCTTGGAGAGGCGGACTCGGCCTTCCCGCCCACGCGTAGGGCCCGGGCGCCGGCAGGTGGAGGGGCTCAGGTGTGCTCGCCTTTTCCCCGCCTGGGCAGCTCCAGACTTTCGCCTTCGAGGGGAACCACGGGACCACCACCCAGAGGTCTCGCCCGGAGGCCCTGTTACCTACCGTCCATTTGTTGACAACATTCTAAGGGAAGCTAGTGTTTGTTGTGTAGCTATGGCCTGGGAAATTTCGTCCACATTTAGTCCACTTGCTCACCTAATCAATATCCGACCCTTTTAAAAAAGAAAAAAAAAAGGGTGTTGCTACTCCTACTCCATAGGGGTTTGCCGAGGTCATTGGCAGGAATTGCAAGGACCTCTGGTCACATAAACCCAGTCAGTACCCTTCCCATCTCATCCTTCCTACCAAGAAGATGATCAGTAAGACTTGAAGCTGGGAAGCATATATTTCTTCTTCTTGGAAGAGGGTAGGGGTCATTCATCTGCTCATTCAGTAAATAAAAATGTATTAAGCACCTACTTCATGCCAGGTTGGGTGATTATGGGGACACCGGAGAAATCAAGACAGCCTGGGTTTACCTTCAAGGAGCTGTCTAGTGTGGGTATCAGACCACCACCAGTGACAATTTAAATCAGTACTATTTAATAGAAATATAACCCAAGCCTCATATGCAAATTTATTTATTTTTTGTTCATGTTTTTATTGAGTTTTCTTTTTTATAAGAGAGAGAGGAAGGGGGAGAGAGAGAGAGAGACAAACATCGACGTGGAAGGGACACATCGAGTGGCTGCCACCTGCACAACCAAGCAGGACCAAGGACAGATTGCAACTGAGATACACACCCTTAGCAGGAACCGAACCTGGATCTCTCTGGACCGCAGGCCGACGCTCTAACCACTGAGCCAAACCAGCTAGGGCTCATATGCAAATTTAAATGTTACATTAAAAATTCGCCCTGGCCCGTTTGGCTCAGCGGTTAGAGCGTCGGCCTGCGGTCCTGAGAGACCCAAGTTCAGTTCCCGCTAAGGGCGCGTACCTCGGTTGCAGTTTGTCCCCGGCCCTGGTTGGTCGTGCGGGTGGCAGCCACTCGATGTGTTTCTTTCACATGGATGTTTCTCTCTCTCTCTCTGTTCCTCTCTCTCCCTCCCACTCTATCTGAACAAAAAATGGAAAAATGTCCTCGGGTGAGGATAAAAAAAAAAAAAAAAAAAAAAATTAAAAGAACCAGCCCTGGCCGGTTTGGCTCAGCGGTTAGAGCATCGGCCTGTGGTCCGGAGAGACCCGGGTTCGGTTCCCACTAAGGGCACGTACCTCGTGTGCAGTTTGTCCCCAGCCCTGGTTGGTTGTGCGGGTGGCAACCACTCGATGTGTCCCTTTCACATTGATGTTTCTCTCTCTCTCTCTGTTCCTCTCTCTCTCCCTCCCACTCTACCTGAACAAACAATGGAAGAATGTCCTCGGGTGAGGATGATAAAAAAAAAAATTAAAAGAACCAGATGAAATTAATTTTAATAATTTATTTAACCCAATATTTCCAAAATAAGTTATGTTTAATGGGAAAAAATATTTACTTTGCTTCAATTCTGAAATTTTAGTTAAAATTAAATACAATTACAACTCTGAGCCCTGGCCAGTGTGGCTCAGTTGTTTGGAGCATGGTCTTGTATTGGAGCAAGGTCATGGATTTGATTTCTGGTCAGGGCACATACCCAGGTTGTGGGTTCAGTCCTCTGTTGGGGTGCATACAGGAGGCAACATTGATGTTTGTCCCTCTTCCTTCCTCTCTCTCTAAAATCAATGAAAAACATATCCGCAGTTGAAGATTCAAAACAACTCTGAGGCATTAACAAAGTTAATCATTTGTGGAATGGGTTGTCATAGCAAAAGGTTGGAAACTGCCCAATGTCCTTTAATAGAAGTTTGGATATTAAGTAAATAACAGTTTGACCACATGGTGGAAATCAGGCAACTGGCAACTTAGAAAATGAGACAGAGCCCTGGCCGTTTTGGCTCAGTGGCTAGAGCATCGGCCTGCGGTCCAGAGAGACCCAGGTTCAGTTCCCGCTAAGGGCACATACCTCGGTTGCAGTTTGTCCTCGGCCCTGGTTAGTCGTGTGGGTGGCGGCCACTCGATGTGTCCCTTTCACATTGATGTTTCTCTCTTCTCTCTCTCTTCCTCTCTCTCCCTCCTATTCTATCTGAAGAAAAAATGGAAAAATGTCCTTGGGTGTCCTTGGGTGAGGATAAAAAAAAAATGAGACAGAGCTATATGTATTAATAATACATTAATATGCTTATGTATGTACAAAAAAACTATAAAGACACAACCAAAGTTGCCTCTGTGAAGGGGAAATAGGACAGGTGATCAGGTGTGAAAAGGTGACTTTCTTTTCATTATATGCTCCTTAATGTATTTTGAATATGTTCTTTTTTTCTTTTTTTAATCCTCACCCAAGGACATTTTTTGCATTTATCTTCAGATAGAGCAGGAGGAAGAGAGAGAGAAACATCGACGTGAGAGGGACACATCGACTGGTTATCACCCACACAATCCCAACCGGGGCCGGGGACGAACCACAACTGAGGTACATGCCCTTAGTGAGAACCAAACCCAGGACTCCCTGGTTGACGGGCCAACATTCTAACCGCTGAGCCAAACCAGCCAGGGCTGAATATGTTCATTTTTAAAATTTGTTTAATTAAATGGAGGATGATAGCCAAGTCATAGGATCAATGTAAGAATTAAATTAAACAACATGTAAAATCTCCGTCTACCACTTCACAACCTAATCAATTCTAGATACTATCATTACTCCCAGGTAACTTCCACTCAATGGAAACTAGCCCACCCTGATAATGTGTGTTTGTCAGCCTGGAAATTGTTTCTTTTTGTAAAGATAGTTAAGTGTATTATACCTGTGAAATCACCTGTAAGGCCCTGGGGACAGACTTGGGCTCCTTATCAGTTATGTCATTCAAAAAAGTATAAGTAAGTAACCCAAGATTGAACTCTAGCTATATAGCCCCTCTGACCTAACAGTCAACTGACTCATTAGGCCTTTCTAATGCCAGCTGGGCTTTCTACGCCCCTGTCCCCAAACATGACAGCCTCCTGCAAAGCTGCAGGATCCATCCTGGGCCCTAGCTCAAAGAATGGAACACACATCATCCTTCTTGTTTTGTGTGCTCACACTTTGTTCTTTTCCTTCTTAAAACTGAATTACTAGCATAATTTAATGTTTTAAGATTGAGAAAATTAAAAGCTGCTGAAAGGTTCAAAGAACAGTATAATCAGAATTTAACCATTATAATCAATTTTGTGACTATTCCTTGATGCCCGCCTTCCCTGCTGAACTATAAGCTCTTTGAGGCAAGAACTGTATACCCTCACACTCCTATAATAGAGTATATGGAACCAATGAGTGACTCAAAAGGAGCCCAGGGTGCTGATGTTGTCATGGAGTGCAGTGCCCCCTAGAGTCAATTCTCTATTACGAAGGCAGGGCTCATGGGATGGTGGCCTTCTAACATACCAACTATTGACAGTGTGCTGGAGTGGACTGCAGCAAAGAAAAAGGATGTAGTGCCAGTGTCAGTGCCCAATCACAAATCTGGTTTGTCTCCATAGTCAGGATATACCATGTCTTGGCCTCAAATACTGAACCCCACCCCACCCCCCAAAGTTGGCTGATAGGCTTGAATTCTCCCATTAGATCATCTTTGGGTTATTGAGAGATTAAAAAGTCAAGACCATTGGGATGAGGTTATCTGAAGCTCACTATGAACATTCTTTTAAGGACAGGTAATAGGGTTAGGGAATTAAATGTAGGAGATTTTAGGAGAGAAGCTTCCTCTGAGGGTAACCTGAGGAGGTTGGTATATGGGATGGGAAAGAGTGGCAAAAATAAATAAACAGGTTTGGGGTTTGAAGGCTGCCTTTTTCACTAAGCACTAAAGAATGTGTTCCCGCCCTGGCCAGTTTGGCTCAGCGGTTAGAGCGTCGGCCTGCGGTCCGGAGAGGCCCGGGTTCGGTTCCCGCTAAGGGCACGTACTTCGGTTGCAGTTTGTCCCCGGCCCTGGTTGGTCGTGCGGGTGGCAGCCACTCGATGTGTCCCTTCACGTCGATGTTTCTCTCTCTCTCTCCTTCCTCTCTCTCCCTCCCACTCTATCTGTACAAAAAATGGAAAAATATCCTCGGGTGAGGATATAAAAAAAAAAAAAGAATGTGTTCCCAAAGTGTCCCAACTGCTTGCTTTTTGTAGACTGGTCAAGAGAAGTTGAACCCAGAGGAAATATTAGGAGCAATGGGAACTGATGGACTGCAAACGTGTTAATGATGCCTCTCTCAGCAGCTCTGGGGCCTCAGGGAGCCAGTGGGGTAAATTTGAGCTGTGGGGCCTGTCCGACAGGGCCACCCACTAATGTGCAGGATATGAAGCAGAGCTCACTGGCTCCTGAAAGGTCGCCCATAGCAGCAGCAAGTACAGGGTTACAGGAGAACAGAATGGGAAAAGATATGGCAGAAAGGAAGGATTCAGGATTGGGGAGGATGGAAAGAGACAGAGGGGATGCTGGTGTCTGACAGTCAGTCTCCAGTTCCCATTAGTGGGTTTGTGGGTCAGAGAGCTTTCTTAGCATCACTAGCCGAACTTCTTCCTGATTCTTTTATGGAGAGGAGTCCTGAACTGTAGATTGGCTCTTAGTCTTGAATCTGTGTAGCTTTGAGCACTGTTCCTCTTTGAATTCACATTCCTTGTATTTGCCTCTCAGAATTCTTTTAAGAACTAATGAGGTAATTGATGTGAAAGCTTTTTTGTGGTTCTAACCCATTCTTCACGTGAGATGATGATGATACATTTTGCCTGCTGCTTCCCCAAAAGTCTAACCATGAAGTCTCTGGCAACACAGGGCCTAGGCTTAGCCATACAAGAGGGTAGGTTCTGCTGACCTTGCCTCAGGAGGCCCAGGGCAAACTGATAATAAAACTCCAACAACTCTCCAAACTAGTGCTTCTCAGACTTCACTGTGCAGTAAGATCCGTAGTTATTAAAACTCAGATTTGGGGTCCTACCCCTCAGTTTCCAATTCAGTAGGTCCGGGCCCCAAAATTTGCTCTTGTAACAGGTTCCCAGGTGATGCTGCTGGCCTGGGGATTATTGGGAACCACTTTTTTTTTTTTTTTTTTTTTTCAGAGGAAGAGAAATAGAAACATTCATGTAAGAGAGAAACATCACATGTCCGCAACCCAGGTATGTGCCCTGACTGGGAATCACCGGGAATCGAACCAGGACCTCTTGGTCTATAGGACAACACTCAAACCACTGAGCCACACCAGAACAGCTGAGGGACCACTTCTTTAAACTGAAAGTTCACTAGCTTCCTTCTGCTGGGAGGCACAAGGATGGCCTCCATTGCCCTCTGCTGGCCAGACTATAAACATAACTCATGTTTCCAGAGCAACAGGAAAGTACAAAGTAGGGTTTGGAAGGAAATACTTGTCTGAAAATCAAACCAGCAATCAAAATAATTGTTTGTTGCTTCAGAGCATACTTTAAAAAGTATTCATAAGAATTATTTGATCTTTGCGACAATCTTGTGAAGTAGGTAACACTGGTGTTTTTTTTTTTAACTTTATAGTTGAATGTGTTACCAATGTCCCCTCCACTTCCCTCCTATTAACTTCCTCCTCCCCATTCCCACCCCACTCCTGCCTTCCCCACACTATTGTCTATGTCCATTGGTTATGCATATTTGCATATAAGTTCTTTGGTCTATCTCTTCCCACCCCTTCCTCTTCCCCTTCCCTTTGAGGTTCCTCAGTCTAACAACCAATTTGTACTTCTTTTTTTTTTTTATCCTCACCCAAGGACATTTTTTTGATATTTTGTTCAGCTAGAGTGGGAGGGAGAGAGAGAGAGAGAGAAACATCAACGTGAAAGGGACACATCGAGTGGTTGCCACCCACACGACCCAACCAGGACCGGTGACAAACTGCAACCGAGGTATATGCCCTTAGCGGGAACCGAACCCGGGTCTCTCCGGGCCGCAGACCAACACTCTAACCACTGAGCCCAACCTTCCAGGGCTGTACTTCTTTTTTTTTTTTCATCCTTACCCGAGGACATTTTTCCATTTTTTGTACAGATAGAGTGGGAGGGAGAGAGAGAAAGAGAGAGAGAGGGAAACATCGATGTGAAAGGGACACATTGAGTGGCTGCCACCCACACGACCAACCAGGGCCGGGGACAAACTGCAACCGAGGTACATGCCCTTAGTGGGAACTGAACCCGGGTCTCTCCGGACCGCAGGTGGACGCTCTAACGGCTGAGCCAAACTGGCCAGGGCAAGGGCTGTACTTCTTAATCCCTTCATCTTTTCTGCCCATCCCCCCAACTCCCCTCCCATCTGGCAATCAACAAAACATTCTCTGTAACTATGAATCTGTTTCTTTCTGCTTGTTCATTTTGTTTGTAGATTCCATTGTTGATAAATATGTATTTATTGCCATTTTATTGTTCATATTTTTTTATCTTCTTCTTCAAGAAGACCCTTCAACATTTCATGTAATACTGGTTTGGTGGTGATGAACTCCTTTAGCTTTTTCTTGTCTGGGAAACTATATGTCCATGGATTCGAAATGATAACTTTTCAGGATAGCTTCTGGCCTGCAATGTTTCTTTTGAGAAATTGGCTGATAGTCTTATGAAAGCTCCCTGTAGATAGCTAACTGCTTTCCTCTTGCTGTTTTAAGATTCTCTTTTTGTCTGTAACCTTTTGCATTTTGATGATGGTGTGTCTTGATTTGGACCTCTTTGGGTTCATCTTGTTTAGGACTCTGTGCTTCCTGGACTTATGTGTCCGTTTCCTTCACCAAGTTAGGGAAGTTTTCTGTCATTCTTTTTTCAAACAGGTTTTCAATTTCTTGCCCTCTCTCTTCTCATTCTGGCACCTCCATGATGCGAATGTTGGTACACTTGAAGTTGTCTCAGAGGCTCCTTATACTCTCCTCATTTTTTTCATTCTTTTTTCTTTTGTGCTGTTCTGATTGGGTGTTTTTGCTTCCTTATATTCCTAATCAATGGTTTGTTTCTTAGCTTCACTCACTCTACTATTGATTCCCTATAAATTATTCTTTATTTCAGTTAGTGCCTCCTTCATTTCTGACTGGTCTTTTTTTATGCTCTTGACTTCCTTACTAAGTTCCTTGAAATTCTCACCAAGTTCCTTGAGCATCCTTATAATCAGTATTTTGAACTCTGCATCTGTTAGATTGCTTATTTCCATTTTATTTAGTTCTTTTCCTGGAGTTTTGTTCTGTTCTTTCATTTGGGACATGTTTCTTTGATTCCTCATTTTGGCTGCCTCCCTGTGTTTATTTCTATGTATTTGGTAGAATTGCTATGTCTCCTGGGCTTCCTAGAGTGGCCTTTTGTAATAGGTGTCTTGTAGGTTCCAGTGGCACAGCCTCTCTAGTCTTCCCAGCTGGGCCCTCGAGGTGCACCCCTCTTGTGGACTGTACACCCTTCTATTGTAATTGAGTCTTGATTGCTGTTGGCACATCAATGGGAGGGATTTACTCAGGCTGATCAGCTGCAAGGACTGGCTGTGCCCACTGACTGCTGACCTCTGACCACCTTGGAGAATCAGCTGTGCAGAGGCCCACCACACAGAGCAAGACTTACTTCAGCAGGGCTCTGGTACCCACTGAGTCCACTCCTTGAGTGTGTTGCTTATGGAGGTGGTTGGGTGGTGGTGCTTCAACATGGGCTGAAGCTGTCCACTGGGTGTGCTGGCTCTGGGGCAAGGTCAGCCACTACCTGTGTTCTACCCGGGGCCGCCCGGCATAAGTGATCTGCAGGTGGCTGCTGCTTGTGCTGGGCTTGGAGGTGCCCAGACAAACCCAAGTTGTGAACCAAGGCTGGTTGCTCCTAGTGCAGACCTGGGGCCACTTAGCAAAAGGTATGGGGCTCTCTGAGGCCAGATGCTGCTTGTTTAAGAGAATTTAGGAAAGTTTGAAGCAGGAGCCAAGACAGGCCATTCCTATGGTAAAGTCACTGGAAACAGCTTGGGTAGGCTCAAAAGTTGGGTGGGGCAGGGCCTCAGGAAATCACCAGGGTGGGCCAACAGTGTGAGCCAGGTTGCTGGAGTCCCAGATATGGCGCCCTTCTGCCAGCCTGGTGGGGGAAGGGCTCATCAAAGGAACAACGGCCTCTGCCAGCATGTTGGTCCTGGAGAGAGCTGCCTCTCCAGCTTTCGCCCGATGCCAAACAACTCAGTTCTTCCCTGTATGTCTCTGGTGCCTTTCAAGCTGCCGCCCCGCTACTGGAGCCAGTCTCGATGTGGCCTATTCTTTAATTTCATAGTTGTAGGACTTCCATTCAGCTCGATTTCAGGCAGTTCTGAATAATGGTTGTTCTGTAGTTTAGTTGTGATTGTGAGAGGAGGTGATCCCGCGGTTACCTACACCACCATCTTGAGTGGAAGTCAACACTGGCATTTTCATTTTATAAATCAGGAAAACAAGCCCATCGTCAGACCAGTAGTGAGAGACTCCCTGGCAGAGGGGGCTTGTGAAAAGTAGAATTTATTCACAATCCAACTGAGAAAAGTAGAGGTTTGTTCTCCTGAAGGCCAAAGATAAGGGGGTACAGAAGAGGATGATGAACAGATGATTTACACCAGCCTGGGAAAAGTGGCTGGATTTTTTCTCTGACTGTGCTAGGTGGGCTAACCCTTAGTTCTAGGCACCCAGCATCTCAATTTCCTATTTCAGTAGTCAGACTCGAATATCCATAGAATCACCTAGGGAGCTTGTTACAAGTAAAGGTCCCCAAGACCCACCTCCAAGGTTCTGTTTCAGTAGGTCTAGAGCAGGACCTAGGGACCTGCATTTTAAGACATACCCCATCCCTGGGAACTTTGGGAACTCCTTGTCCTTGCAGAATGCTCTCAACATACCAGCAGCAGCAAAGAATTATTATTTGCTTGGGATGGTATTCCTTTCTAGCCTCTCTCTGCTTCCCTCACCCATAATATCCCACTGGGTTATGATAGATAAGATTTATTCTCCAATTCCTTTATGTACGCTCTCCAAGCCTCAGTTTTCTCATCTACTTCACCAGGCTAGAGTAGGGATTAGGTGAGAAGGTATGTCTTATGTATAGTTCCTGACATTCAAAAAGTGTGCAATAAACATGAGTTCACTGATCTTGCCTTCTGATTCCTAGCTCCTCAAAAAGTATAGTGGCTTAGCTGGTATCTTTTGGATTTCCACAGGTTTTTAAGTGACAGTCCTGAGCAGGTCCAGAGGATAATCAAGGTGATGTCTTCCCCCAGACTCATTCCCCTATGGAAGGATTTTAAATACCTCATAAGTGACTTACAGAAAAGCAAGGTAACGTATGTGTAGGACATAAATATGTTATTATTGGCTTCTATCTATCTTAATAGTTATGAGCACTTCTGAGGAGCATAGATTCCCATGGAAGCAGGCAGAGGAGACCATAAAGACAATTGTTACCTTAGGAGGAAGTGGGCCATCAATTTCTAAATGAGTCTAGGGACCTGTTGCAAAGACATTTTTAAAAAAATCCTCACCTGAGGATATGTTTATTGATTTTTTTTTTTTTTTTTTTTTTAGAAAGAGACAGGAAGGGGGAGAGAGAGAGAAATCTATCCGCTGCCTCCCATATGCACCCCAACCAGGATTGAACCCGCAACCTAGGTCTATGCCCTGACCAGGAATTGAACCTGTAACCTTTTGGTGTGTGGGACAATGCTCCACTGAACTAAGCTACTCAGCCAGGGCTTCAAAAGACTTTTTGGTTTTGTTTTGTTAATCCGAGCCTGAGGATACGTTTTCCACTGATTTTTTTTTTTTAGAAAGGAAGGAGGGAGCCCTGGCCTTTTTGGCTCAGCGGTAGAGTGTCGACCCGTGGAACAATGAGTTGCAGGTTCAATTCTGGCCAAGGGCATGTACCTGGGTTGCGGTTCATCCCTGGCCCTGGTCCGGGTCTTGCAGGAGGCAACCAGTTGATGTGTCTCACTCACATCGATGTTTCTCTCTCTCTCTCCCTTTTTCTCCCTCTCTCTCCCTTCCACTCTATCTGAAGATAAAGAGAAAAATATCCTCGGGTGAGGATTAAAAAAATAACAATAGAGAGGAGGGAGGGAGGGGGAGAGACAGGGAGAGAGCCTCGCCCATGTGGCTCATCAGTTGCGCATCCGATGCATGCACCAAGAGGTCACTGATTCAGTTCCCAGTCAGGGCACTCGCCCAGGTTGTGGGCCAAATCCCCAGTGGGGGTGTGCAGGAGGCGGCCAATCAGTGTTCTCTCTCATGGATGTTTCTCTCTCTCTCCCTCTCTCTTCCTCTCTCTCTGTAAAATCAATAGAGGAAAAAAAAAATCTATGTGAGAGAGACACATCTATTGGTTGCCTCTCAAACCTGCCCCAACTGGGGCAGGGATCAAACCTGCAACCCAGGTATGTACCCTTGACTGGAAATCAAAGCTGTGACCCCTCGGTGCATTAACTGATGCTCTAACCACTTAGCACACCAGCCAGGGCTTGCAAGGACATTTTGATAGTGGCAGGTGAACACTTTGGAGCATTGTCAGAGGAACCAACCCTCTGGGGAAAGAGATTTTCTAAAAGAGAAGGCAGAAGGCACCAGGGAGAACATTTTTCAACCTCAGTTTTGCTATGGTTGGCTCTGTATAAAAGGACCCCAGGTTCATGCTCAGTGACATGATCTGTCACTGTGGGGTAATATATTTTGTATATATATCATCTTCCCTTGCCAAATTTAAAGGCCAGGTAGGGTGTCCTAGAAGTCTTACTTAGTGCAGTTTTAAACCTTACTAACTTAAAGCTACACTGACTTTTGGTACAACATGTCACTTTGCATTTGGGTACATGGCAGTGAACTTGCCTGATTAATCTGTTAAATGTGTCTTTTATGGCATACACACATTTTAGACAGAAGGGAGAATGTTAGAGGACAGGTATAGTGAACTTCTTGTTGAGAAGAACATCCGTTTCTCCTGTGCTCACACTATAAAATTTGCCCATAGAGGCCCTATCGACGTTTGGTTCTGTCATGTTGGGGTTTTGTTACATGCTTGTGAAGTGTAGATGTCCCACAGGTGAGACATTGTGCATGTGTGGGTGTAACAGGAGTGGTCCTTAGGGTTGTGGCATGACTTTGAGAACTGCTTCAATTGTGGCTTAAGTGAGAATATATTTAGTGCATGTGTGTCCTGGTCTCTTTGTTTATGCCATGCCTCTCCCCAGGAAACTTGGGATGACCCAAAGAGTGACATAGTTGTGCTGAGTGACCGGCCCCAGGTACTGTTCAGAGAGTCTCGCCATCCTCAAAATATGCCACTTATATGCTATTACTTCAGTGATGCCTACTTCTTTGCCTCCCTCTCATGGACAATAGCAAAAGAAATACAGGTAAAACTGCCTACTCATTCTTCTTCTTAGTCTATTCTACAGGGGCCATGCCCATATAAGCTCCTCACCCAGTGACCTGGGGAGCATTTGAGATCTTGCTCTCAGGCATATGTCCTCATTTTGGTTCAAATAAACTCTTCTAAAAATTTTTTGAAAAAAGAAAGAAAGTGACCTGGATCCAAAATTTCCTCCAATTACAGTCTCCATGTTGAATAGATTTTATGGTTCCCCTAAAGTAGGCCAAGGTTAGGGAAAGAGTACTATGCTTCCTGCTTCTATAACCACCATAACTAAGTGGTAAAATCACTCTAGAATCCTCAAATTCCTCCTTAGCACAAGAACAGGGAAAAACAGCTGAATATTCTATCCTTCACTCTTCTACTGTTTTTTCTAGTCAGTTTCCATCTTATTCTCTTCTAGGCTGTAGTATGGATGAAGAACAAAACTGAGGACATGGTCGAAAAGAGAATATTCTCCATGACTGAACGATTGCCGCCCATCCAGTGTATGGTACACGCAGGTTCCTTTCATATCCTTGTGGCCTACTGTGGTGACTTGCTCCTGCGGCTCTTTGGAGACCACTTTCGGTCATTCAAACCCTTGGGTATAGTGCCCTGCCGCTTTAACATCAACTGCCTCTGCTATGAGCCAGAAATGAAGATGCTTCTGTCAGGCATCCTGGGGGCAGTGGTCACCTGGACCATTGAGCAAAGTGGCAGGGGCCTCCAAATCGCCCACGTGGTTTCCATGCCTGGTGATGAACTTGTCCAGGACATCGTGTTGAATGGCCCCAACGGCTCCATCCTAGCCCTGTGTGAGACTGTGGTGAGGGTTCTTGAGCGCCAGGGCCTGAGCCAGCTGGGAGAGGTGAAGAGGTTCATGTCTACCACGAGTGGCTCCTCTATCACCTGCTGTTTCACCTGTTTTGATCAAGGCTTTCTCTATGCTGGAAACAGGACCGGGGACATCCAAGTATGGAGGTTCAATTACAGCTACTCTCTCCACAGTTTCAAGGCCCATTCTGCGTCAGTGATATGTATCTGCAGCCGGCCAGAAGCCCACACCCTGCTGACAGCTGGCAAGGAGGGTTTCATTAAGGAGTGGAACCTTACTTCTGGGACCCTTCTGCGGCAACTAGAACTTGGCGAGGAATTGTATCGACTCCAGTTTACTGATAACATTACTTTCTTCTGCCAAACTGCCCATACTTTCTCTTTGCGTCGTCTGCCCTGCTTCTATACCCTCTTCAATGTCTGTGGCTCTGCTCCAGAGCAGGTGCGTCGGGTCCGCTGTGGTAATAACTGGTTCCGGATCCTATGCACTACCGAGGATGGCTTGTTGCGCTTTGTGTCCCCACTAACAGGGGATCTTCTGGTTCTCACCTGGCCCTTCTCAGCCCTGGACCAGGCTATGGATTGGGCGTATGACCCAAATAAAGAAGAGCTCTTTGTAGCAACAGAGGGCTCAGAGGTGCTGGTCTTTGACACAACCCGTAGCCCTTGCCCACCCAAATATATTTTAAGCACCTCACCAGATTCTCAGGACTCAGTACAATGCATGGCTTATGGGCATTTCTACCTGGGTCGGGGTCTAGAAGGACTGATGTTCTCTGGCTACCAGAGCGGTATGATAAGGGTGCTTTCCCATCACAGCTGTGCCCGATTAGAGACATTAGTGCACTTTGGGGCTGTATTGGCCCTCTCCACGCTGCCTGGAGGGTTTTTAGGTGGTCAAGAAAGCTCTTTGCTCTGTTCCTATGGAATGGATGACTATGTACGCCTGTCAGAAGTTGTGCTTGATGTAACTAGAGTACTTCTGCAGCCTCTAGCCAGCATTCTCAGCAGCTGTCACCTAAAACACCTGATACTCTTGCCAAAATCTGTGGGTGCCATTACAGACACTAGTTGCCTGCGTCTCTGGAAATTCCATGATTTTCTGATCTCTGAGACACAGAAAGGCTCAAAGTTTATAGAGACATTGCCTCTGCACCAGTGTGCAATTACATCCTTTGATGTATGCCTGACCTTGGGTCTTTTTGTCACAGGTGGTATTGATGGCTCTGTCCGGATCTGGAACTTCCATGGTAGACTTGTAGCCATGCTGGACTCATCACTGCATTTTGGTCCACTCTGCTTTGCAAATGACAGGGGTGACCTGCTCGTGACTTTTAACCAGAGTCTTTATCTGGTATCCTGTTTAAAACTGCTTCCCTCAACCCTGCTGGTTCGCCTTTCCTTTATGAGCATGGCAGATGACGTGCTAGAAATCCCTAAGCCTTTCATACCAAGCTTCTTCTTCTCTTTTGAGACCATGTTTGTGCCCAAGTATATCTATCTTAGACATGGACAACAGGAATTAGTGGGTCTGGAGAAACTTGTCAATAAGCGGGCCATTGCCTTTGACCATAGTGTGCCACATGTCATAGAAGAAGATGAGCAAGGGAGCCCCGTATTACTGTCTACCCCAAGATATGATTCCTCGACTATAGAGGAAACTTACATAAAGATGAGAAAACCTTATCCCCGTTATGTGATTCCTCCCCAGCTACAGTTGATTGCTTGGGATGGACTCAACCCTTATCAGATACTGAAATGCTACTTTGGTTATGGGCGGAAATGGCTCTTTGCTCCTGATTGCTATATCCCTAACTCAGTGATTCGTGCTCGTCTTTGGCCAGAGGGCAGTCCAATATACCTACAGTGCAACCTGCATTCATCCATACGGAAGTTGGAATGGGACAAATCTCAACAATTCTTCTGGCACAGTAGGGTAAGACCTATACATGATGTAAAAGAACAGCCACAGGAAAAGGAAGATGAAGACTTCTTAGAAATGAGAATGTACAATGATGTAACTTATAGTGTCCTTACAGACCCAACAAACCGCAGTTGGCTGGGAAAAAGGATGAGTGAAATAGCTATTAATAGCTTGATTGAGACTATCCTCAACATTATGATGTATGCTCCTCCTCCATTGAAGTACCAATGCTGTGTTGGTGCACTAGGGCAAATCTTTGCTTCTTACCAGGTGTCTCCACCCTTGCGCTCTGAAACAGCCCGTCGTCTGCTAGATGATACAACCAATTCTAATCCACTGATCCGAGAGTTAGCCTGGGAAGGGCTGAAGCGTCTAGGAATGATCACTCATCTCTTTGCCATGCCTTTGGCGCAGGGATTAATGGACAAAGACCAAAGAGTGAGGAGTAAGGCACTGAGCCTCATGACTGACACTGGAATCCACTCTAAGCGCTCACTCTTAAGCATGATCCAGAACCGAGACACTTTCCAGGAGATGCAGTAAGTTCTTTGTGCCTTTCTCAATTCTTTTCTAGCTTCTAATTTTCCTCTGTCCCTTTCCCATTTCCCCCTTTATTCTTTATCTTTTCATCCCTGTTCATTGGCTTTTCCTGCCCTTTTTTCTTGTTCATAGTCTTTTCCCATTCCTACACTATCTGGACAATCCCCTTACTGTTCAATTTTTTTCCATTTATTCTCCTATTCCTGTCGGTCCCCTACCTCTTCAAGTTCCCCTTTTCATCTTTTTCTCCTAACCTCGCAGCCTCTATACAGATCACTCCATTCATTGCCATCTTATCTCCCTAGACATTTCCGTTCTTCTTGGCCATTCTTTACCTTGACATAACACTGTCTCTGTTAGCCACTTTGCCAAGCCCCCGCCTGTTCCATATCAGTTCTTTCCTTCTCATTTTCTCTTTTCCCTAATTCAGCATGCTCATTCTTCTCCTTTGACTTTCACAGGCAGGAAATGATTGGGGAGAAAACCTTGGACAATCTGCTGGGGATGCGTGCCACAGATCTCCAAATCCTTCATACTCAAGTGGAGCAACGACTGAATGAAGACCTGACCTTGTCACAAGGAGATAAAAAGCCTTCTTTTTCTTTAGATGTCTCAGATGTTTCTGAAGTGACACCCATTTCCAAGCAATCTCAGTTAGCTCTGAAAGAATCTGAAGTTGCCATCAAGCCCAGCAAAGGCCACAGACGGAGCCGAGTAGGGAGCAAAAAGAGTAGTATGTATGGGGTGATCCAGGTCATGGTTCACAGTCCCCAAGAAGCAGAGTAGTTAGGGCTAAAGTGGGTCAAGAGATACCAGATGGGGTAGAGACAAGTGGAAAGATCTTTTCACAGAAAAATAACCTTCCTAGGGAGAATCCACCCAAACTCAGGAAGTCTTCAAGGCCTCTCTCTCTAGGATTTTGGGTGGGGACACTGGCTTCAGCCCCCCTGATGCTGTTTCTTTTATGGCAGTCCTCTTAGCTAATATCAGATATTGGGAAGGGTTTCATTTAAGCCTACTATGCTTTCCTTATCTGCATCTCCTGATTTTCTCTGCAGCCCGAAAGTTGTTGCCAGCCCTCAAGAAGATAAAAGAGACTGGCATGGAGCCAAGTCCCTTAGACAGTGAAGCTGCACTAATGGAGGTAGAGGATACAGCAATCTATTCTAGGTCTTCAACCAGCAGTGTACTAAAGATTTCAAAAGATGCTGAACAACAGCCTCCAGAGAAAGATGTCACAATGACCCTGAAGATGCTAAGGAAAAAACATGGCAAAAGAGGCAAGAAATCCAAGAGGCAAAAGAAAAAGACAAAAAAAGCTGAAGTTATAATTGAGAAATCTCTGTCTACTGTAAAGGAAGAACCAGTTGTGAAGAAGGTGAAAGACATAGGGCGGGGTGCCTTTGGAGCTCCTGGCCGCAGGGTTGGAGATGGTTCATCGTGGCGGGATGATCTATGTCGTCTTATGACCCTGAGGATATCTGGTTCCCAAACAGAAATGTCAGAGTCTCTAAACACTGAGTTAGTGACCATGGCTCAGGAAGTGCTGGCAGATAAGCAACCCAGCTGGGAGCTCTTTGAGAAGATTTGCCCCCTGCTGAAGAAAGAAAGTGAGGTTCTGCTTGAGGACCTTGACTGGGATGTAGCCTGGCCAGAAGAGAGAACAATTTTTATTCACGAAGGAGCAGTTATAGAGGACATGGTGATCAGAGACACTGAAGAGATACCAGAGGAGCAGAGGCAAGTACAAACGGAAGCGGGGGACCTACAGAAAACCCAGGTGATTCCCAAAAAGGGCAAGAAAAAGAAAGTTATATTTTTAGAACCAAGTCATCTAACCAAGAGGAAAATACTGAAGAAAGAGATGATATCCTCTAAGACACCCTCTAAGCAAAAGAGGAAAGTAATCCAGAAGGAAATAAAAGTGGATAAAAAGGAGAGAGAAATGATCAAAAGAAAGAGAGATGTGAGTCAGGAAGTGGGGAAAATGGCCAAACTAGAGGGGAAGGTGGTTGAGCAAGAAGGAAGACCAGTTATGGATGAGAATAAGCTGACTTTTCAGGACTGGAAGAAGTCCTGGGATGAGTGGAAACAGACCCATGGTGAGACAAGTATATCCTGGAATGAATGGAAGACACTCTGGGACAGACAGCATCTTGAGGAAGAGGAGAAATCACAAAAGGACAAAGAAAAGCTATTCCCAGATGAAGAAAAGCTATTCCCAGATGAGGAAAAGCTGGATGGGGGGAAGAGGAATCTGGAATGGGATAATGTGGCGCAGGTCTGGAAAGAGATGTCAGACAGGTCCAGGAAGGAAAAATTAAAGGATGAAGAGGAATTGACCCTGAAGATAGAAGAATTGCCTCAGGAGGGGGAAAAAGAAGAAGAAAAAAAGCTGGTGATAGAAGAGCAGAGACAGGTCCAGAAAGAATACAAACAGGCTTGGGTTGAGAAGAAACGAGCCCAAGCTGAAAGAAAACGAGCCCAAGAAAAGAGGAAACTGGCACAAGAAGAAGAGAGACTGGCACAAGAGGAGAGAAAACTGGCTCAGGAAGAGAGAGAACTGGCCAGGGATCACAGGAAACTGGCTCAGAGAGACAGGAAAATGGTCCAGGCAGAGGAAAAACTGGCCCAAAAACAAGTTTGGCTAAGCCAGGAAACAGAGAAAATGGCCCAGCAAAGGAAGAAATTGGCCAAGAACTGGGAGAAACTGGCTCATGAAAAAGAGAAAATAGCAAAGAAAGGAGAGAGGCTAACTGAAGCAAAAAATGTATTGGTCCAGAAAATGGAACAAATAGTCCAGAAGGAGCAAGATCTGGCATGGCAGGAAAAGGAACTAGCCCAGGGACTGAAGGAGCTGACATGGAAAGAGGAGGAACTGTCTAGGAAAGAAGAGCAACTGAATCAGGAAGAGGAGGAGCTACCTAAGGAAGCAGAGAGACTGGCTCAGGAGAAGGAGACACTGGCCTGGAAAGAGGAGAAACTGGTTATGGAAGAAAGAAACCTGGTCCAGGAAGAATTGCTGCTGATCCAGGAAGAGAAGAAACTGGCCGAGGACTTGGAATATCTGCCTGAGGAAGAAGAAAGACTTGCCCAGAAAAGGGAGCAATTGATGGAGAATAAGGAAAAACAGGCCCAGGAAAAGGAACAATTGATCCAGGACAAGGTACAACTTGCAAACAAGAAGAGGATACTAGCTCGGAGGGAGAAGACTCTGGAGCAGGAGCAGGAAGAGCTGGCTCAGGAGAAGGTAAAAATTTTTCAGAGGGTAAAGAACTTGCATCAGCTCAAAGAAAACCTTGCCCTGAACAGAAATAAATTAGTGCAAGTACAGGAGAAACTGGACATGTACAAGAAGAAATTGTTCCAGATGGAGGAGAAGCTGGTAAAAGAGAAGGGAGACCTTTTCCAGAAGAAGGAGAGACTAGCTGATGCAGAGAAAAAACTGGCCCAAGCAGAGGAAAATCTGGCTAAGAAACAGCATGACCTAACCCAGGAAAAAATGAAATTAGCTATAGAGCACAGGATAAAATCTCAAGAACTGCATCTGCTCAGTAGAGAAGATGATATTAGTGAGAAAGAAAAGGCACTGGGCATGGAAATGAAGAAACTGGCCCAGGAGAAGTTGAGACTGGCTGAGGAAAGGGAAAGTCTTTCTAAGGGAGAGACTCAAGAAATCTCAACACAGAGAAAACTGAATGAGAATGAACTAGAACTAATTCAGAGGAAATTGTCACTAGAGGAGAAGATATTGATCTATGAAGATAGGACATTGGCCGCAAAGCAAAGGCAAATTGCCAAAGGAAAATTAGAAGTTACTAGAGGAGAGAGAGTATTTGCCCAGGAAGAACGGAAGCTAGCCAAAGTAGTAAGCAAACTGACTAGAGGAAAAATTTCCAAGGAACCATCAAAAGTAAGCAGTAAAATCTTAAAGGTATTTCAAAACCTTATCAAAAAAGAAAGGATACTAACCCAGGATGAAATACAGATGACAAAGATAAACAGGGCATTCTTAGTTAAGGAAAGAAGATTGAGCAAAGAACAAAAGGAACTTGATGCCAAAGAGTGGGATATTTCTGAGAAGCAACCAGAAGAGACCAAAGATAAGAATAAACTGGCTAAGAAACACAGAGAACTGGCCAAAGAAATGAGGAAAATGATGCATAAAGAGAAAAAAATAACTGAGAAAGAAAGCAAATTGGCTATGGAACAGAGAGAAGTCATACAGGAAGAAGAGGAAGAAATAACAGAGGAAGAAGTGTCACCCCTTAAACAAAAGTCAAGAAAGAGAATAGCATTTAAGGAAGTTGAAATGCCACAGGAAGAATTTCTTGGTCAGGGGGATGAGGTGGAAAGTGAAGAGAGCTTTTCTGGAGAAATGGAAAGCCTGTTAAATAAAGTAGAACAAGAGAGCTCGGAGGAGGAGGAGGAGGAGGAGGAGGAGGGGGAGGGGGAGGGGGAGGGGGAGGAGGAGGAAGAAGAGGAGGAGGAAGAAGAGAAGAAAATGGAGGACAAAAAAGAGGTAGAGGAGAAGAAGAAGACGACACCGAAGAAGAAGAAGACGACGAAGAAGAAGAAGACGAAGATGACAGAGGAGGAGGAAGTGTCTGAGAAAGATGAAAGCATGAGTGAGGAAGAGATAGAAAGTTTGAGTGAGAAAGAAGAGGAAGAGAAGCGAAGTTTACTGGAAGAAGAGGTAGACAAGGAAAAAGAGATCTTAAAAAAAGAAAAACTATTTACATTACAAGAAAAAAGAGGAAAGGATCTAAGAGGAATAGAAATAGTCCCTTCTGTTAGTAAAAGAATTCCTGATATAAACCTGGAAATTCTGAAAAGCCCTACCAAAAAACAAATCTCGGTAGCTCTGGAGAGGAAAGAGACTATACCAGTGCCATTGTTTATAAAACAACTATCCAGGAAAGATAAGGCCACAGCACTTGAGACACCCAAGATATTCCCAGAGACAACGTTTATGGATAAACAAGAAGGACTGTTGAAGAAATATCAGCCCATTCCTCTACAAGTTATAGAGTCCCAAGAGCCAGATTTAAAGACCCCATATTTATCCCACATATTGAGGAAGACCACGGAAGCTCAGAAACTCCAAGGCAAACCACTAGGGGACAGGTGGCAGTGGCTTTCAAAGCATCCTCCATCTCTGAAGGGACAAACTAAGGTACAATTACCTGAGTCCCAAATCCTGGCTGAGAGAATATATACAGACATGAGCCTCTCAGATGTAGAATGGACCCAGCGTGTCCTAGAACGGATGGAGGCAGGAGAACAGCTTTCCAGAGACAGTTTCCATAGATTGTGCCAGCTTCTGAAAGACCTCACCTCACAAGGAACCTTAGAGTGGATGCATCTAACCAAACTTGAAGCTATCATTTACCGTCACAGGCAGGTCCCAGAATCACATAGCACACATATCTCAAAGCCCAGTAAGAAGCCTCTTGGTCCCAAATACCCAAAAGTGATCCCTCCTATAAAAAGAAAGGAAAAGGAAAGCTACTTAAAACCTTTGGCTTTCCCCACACCAAAGTCCTCATTAGCTACCAAAAGGATTCCAGACTCAAAGGCTATAAATTGGCATCTTCTAGGAGAGCCTTACAGGAGTGCACGAGCAGAGCAGATATCCAGTGCCCTCAAGGAGATGGAAGGGCAACACTTTTATCCTGCCACAAGAGACATTGTCACAGGTGCCCATGCCTCTGTGGAAAAACAAACCCTAGCACTGATGTTTCAGAAGGATTTCTGGGCTTTTAAGGATAAGAGCAGGTTTCCCAGATTGCCCAAGGTGGAAAAGAAGACACAGCCCAGCTCTAAAAAACAGGAAAAGGTACCTCTATGGGAGACATTTGTGGCCCTGTACCATGTTTTGCGGATGTTGCAGGAGCGATATGCAGAAAACAGTGCTGCTTGGATAGAACAGTTCTACCAGCTCATGGACCTATATCAACTTAAGTCCCCTGGGATCCAGAGATTGCTACAGGACCTGCTAATGAGAGAGAAACACCAATCCTATGAGATCATCTACAAAGAGGCCCTCAAAGCCACAGAGCTAGCTCCCGGGGAGCGGTTGTTCTACCACCTGTTCTGTGGTAACTCTCACATCCCTAGAGGTCCTCTGGAGTTCCAGGAGGTGGTGTCCCTCTCAGGGCAGAACAATGTGCATACTATGGTTCCCATAGGCATTGCCCGTTATGGCATCTTAGAACTTGCCTGGAAGAGCCTGCCCCAAGCTGATGTTCACCTTACCAAGGAATTGGCCCATATCACTGCTCCTACCCCCTAATTTAGGACTGAATGGAGGTCAGGACTTTTTATTCCCACCTGGAGAAAGCCTTGTCACCAGATAGACCTTTGTAACTAGGTCCCATACAGATGTAGGGCCAGGCCAAAGACCCTTTCCTATGAAGCTCCAGAAGCCAGCTTCTATATGTGGAATAAAGAGGAGATTCTCATATCCAGCAAGCTCTGTGATGTGTCCCTTTTCCTCAAATGTTGCTTCTCCAGAAAGGTAGTCAAGGAGACCAGATACTCACGTACTCCAAAGAGTGAGAAAACACCAGAAACACTGGCCAGTGTGGCTCAATTGGTTCAGTATCATCCTGTGCACCAAAAGATCTCCAGTCAGGGCACGTGGCCTGGTTACCGGCTTCATCCCCAGTAGGGGGCACGCAGGAGGCAACCGATTGATAGTTTCTCTTCTCCCTTCTCTCTCTAAAATAAATAATAATTTAAAAAAACAAAACATATTTTAAAAATCTTACTTAAAGTGAATGGTGCTAACCCTCTGGAGGCCTTCAGATAGAAAAGTCTGTCTTTGTCCTCTTCCTTTCTTGTCTCCCACCATCCTCTCCTAAAGACTATATAGGAAGGAAAGCACCTGGCACAAAAATGAATGTATATTTCACATTGATATGGGGCATTGATATAGTAAAAAGAAAATGGATTTTAAAATAAGAAAACCCAGAATTCTGCCCCTTAGTTTTGGAGGCAGGCTCTATTTCCCTGATCATAGCATACTGATGACTTAAATCCAAAACAGCAGGTGTGTTGGGTGTTGAAGAGACCCTCAGAGTAAAGGAAAAAGCTTCAATAACTTCTAGCTAGTAACTCATTACTGGATGGCACTAAGGATAAGGCCATTTGAGGTAAAAGTAGAAAGAAAAGGGGGGAAGCCTGTCTTTTATTTCCTTTTCCAGTACCTGGACATAGGATTTGGGGAAAATGATAGAATTTGGAAGACTAAGTAAAAGCTCACTAGCCCCCCCAACCCATCATTGCCTAGGGACTTGTGATCCTTTCCTCTAGCAATTAAGGAGACAAGAGTTAAGGCAAAAGGCTAATAAAGTGAAGGAAGTTTTCACTGCCAGTAATCATGTTCCTTCCCTGATCTCTTCCCACCATGGAGACGTTAGAATTGCCTCTTTCCAGTTAAGCTGAGTCTTCTAACAGCTTCTAGCAAGTAGCTCCCCTGTGCCATTTGCTACCTCCATTCCACCTCTTCTTTGTTATTTTACTTCCTCCACCTGAGTTTGATTTTGTGGTAAAGCCAGGGATAGAGGGAAAGAGAACATTCTGAGAAGCCCAGGGCAATAACAGCCCTAGGTGTATAGTTGGGCTCTTTCACATCGGACTATATTTTATGCCACATGGAATATATGAGAACCATTGGCAGGGGACAGGGAGCTTCAGAAAGGATTACTGACCTAACAGCTGGAGGAGGCAGCAGAAGTAAGCATGGTCCAGTTGTCTCTGCAGCCTCAACCTGAATAATTTCTCTTTTGGGCCTCTGTTTACTTGTCTGTGTCAAAAAAGGAACAGTGCACAAATTACAAACATCAGATATGAAAGAGAAGATATCACTACAGGTCCTACAGATATTAAAAGGATAAAGACTATGATGAACAACTCTTATCTTCATAAATTTAACCACAGAGATGAGATGGACAAATTTATTGAAAGACCAGGAAAGGGAAGAGCAATACCTATCTACTTCATTTTGCAGGATATCAGTGGGTCCTTTGGTAAAAAATAAAATTAAAATTAAAAAAAGACACAGTGGCCCTGGCCAGTTTTCTCAGTGGTTAGAGCAACAGCCCATGGACCAATGAATTGTGGGTTCGATTCTGATCAAGGGCATGTACCTTGGTTGCAGTTTGTCCCTGGCCCTGGTCAGGGTCATGCAGGAGGCAACCAGTTAATGTGTCCCTCTCAGATCGAAGTTTCTGCCTCCCTCCCTCTATCCGAAGATAAATAGAAAAATATCCTCCAGTGAGGATGAAAACACACACACACTGAGCTCTGGCCAGTGTAGCTAAGTGGTTAGAGTATTGGCCCACACACCAAAGGGTTGCAGGTTTGATTCCCAGTCAAGGATATATACCTGGGTTGCAGGTTCGATCCCCTGGATCTGGTTGGGGTGCATGCAGGAGGCAACCAATTGATATATCTCTTTCATCTAGATGTTTTTCTCTCTCTCCCCACCCCTCCATTCTCTCTAAAAATGGAAGATATATCCTTGGATGAGGATTAACAACCACAACAAAAAACCCACAGTGACAAAAACAGTCTGTTGTGGTTCCAAAGCCAGAAATTCTATGGATGGTTCTTCAGGGTACCTCGAAACCTGAGTACTGGCCATGACAACCTAGAAATCCTCATCTTTGTCAGAATGGCAGAGAGCAGGACTTGTTGGTATTTTCTCTTTATTATGAAAAATATCAATCACAAAAGTAGAAGAGTATTATAATGAACCCCCAGATCACATCACCTAGATTTAATTATAAACATCTTGCAAAATTGCTTCATTTTTTTTTTCTGTTAAGTACCCCAGACATTGTAGCAAATAGCAAAATGACAGAAATAAGTCCATCCTTATCAGATTACTTTAAAATGTAAATAGATTAAACTCTAATCAAAAGATATAGATTTGGAAGAATGGATAAGAACACAATCAAATGTTATTCTACTTATAAGAGACTCTTTAGATTCAAAGATACAAATAGATTAAAAGTGAAAGGATGGGAGGAGCCAACATGGCTGTGAGCAGGACCAGAGTGAGGATGAGTGTGTGGATGAGCGTGTGTGTGGGTGTGAGTGTGGGTGAGCATCTGCCTGTCTGTGGGGGAACTCAGGGCTGGCCATTTGGGTACTCTAGGTGAAGGGAGCTGCCAGCCTCAGAAGCATGCTCCCCAGCCAGCTGCTTCTCCCCACTCAGGGCTCAGAATCAGAGAGCATGTCATTTTGGAGGATCTGTAGGGTCCTCCTTGGGAGGAGGCTGCAGGGAATGGCAGAGACCCAGTATCTGGAGGCCACAGAGAGGTGGCCCAGCCCTACCACCTCTCTCCTGGCAGCAGAAGGCCCACTACTACCTCCAGACCGCCAGCAGCAGGCACGTGCAAACAAAATGAAACTAAATCACCAACTTACACTATATACAAGAATAAACTCAAAATGGATAAAAGACCTAAATGTAGGTTGTGAAACCATAAAAATCCTAGAAAATGTAGATAGCAAAATCTCACACATAGCAGAATTTTCACTGGTACATTGCCTAGTGCAAGAGAAACAAAGGAAAAAATAAAAGGGACTACATCAAACTAAAAAGCTTCTGCACAGTAAAAGAAACCAGCATCAAAATGAGAAGGGAGCCTATTGTATGGGAGAACATATTTGCCAAAGATACATCTGATAAGGGCTTAATTTCCAAATATATACTCATACAACTCAACAAAAAGAGGACAAGCAATCCAATTAAAAAATGAGCAGAGGAGATTTGGGAAGATCCCTGGTCTTCTCTGGGAGGAGGCAGTGGGAGTGGCTAGGGCCAAGCGACCTGAGTCCACTAGTGCACCTAGCACCATCAGACCAGTGTACCCCGCTGTGTCAACACAGACCAGCACACAGTAGCAGCGCTGTCAAGGCAGCAGCTGCAGAGATCAGCAGCTGAGACCCATCCCCAGCAGCATCAGCAGAGGCTGATCAGAAGCAGTGCCCCAACCCAAGAACCAGCAAGGCTTGGGCAGCCAAGACCCACACCTGACAACTGCAGCAGCAAATTTGGAGTGGAGCCCCTCCCCCAGCAGCAGCAAAGTCCTGGGAGCTGTGCATCCTCAGCCCCCAACAGCAGCAGAGGATTGAGAGCTGAGAGCACCCCCTGGCAACAGCAGCAGTAGTAGCAGGACAAACTGGGAGCTGACACTCACCCGCAGCAGCATCAGCAGTGACTGATCAGGATCTGAGCCCCACCAGGCAGCAGTGCAACCCAGCAGGACACCAACAGGACCCACACCAGCAGAACTGGTGGGACCCATATGCCTCAGCAGCGCCTAACACAACAGACCAATACCAGTCTCCAGTTGTCAGTCCTCCAGGACCCACAGCAGGCAAGAGGTGCCACACACCAAAACAGTCTGGGAGGCACAGCAACCTTATTTGATAAACACTGACCTGCCTACACATTCCAGCATCCCTCACCAGGCCTAGAATTACCAGACTACTAAAAGGGTGAGACAGAGAAACAACACCCAAATAAAAGAAAAGGAGGAATCTCCAGAAAAGGAACTACATGAAATGGAAGACAGCAATTTGTCAGATAAAGAATTCAAAGCAATGATTTTAAGGGTGCTCAAACAATTTAGTGAGAACTACAAGAAACTTAATGAGAATTATAATGAGCTTGGTGGAACTACAGCTTAAAAAAAAAAAAAAGAGGTAGAAGCTATGAATAAAAATCAAGAAGAAATAATGACATAGCTGATATGAAAAATACCTTCAACGAATTCAATAGTAGATTAGAAGAAGCTGAAGACCAAATCAGTGAGTTAGAAGACAAGGAAGAAAAGAAAATGCCCAAATAGAGCTGCAAATGGGAAAGAAATAAAAAAGCAGGAAGAGAGTTTAAGGGCACTTTGGGACAATACAAAGCACAATAACGTTCATATCATAGGGGTACCAGAAGGAGAAGAATCAGAGAAAGGAATAGAAAACCTATTTGAAGAAATAATGACAGAAAACTTCCCTAATTTGGTGAAGGAAAAAGTCACACAAGTCCAGGAAACACAGATAAAACCCAAGCAAGATAAACCCCAAAAGACCCACAGCTAGACACATAATTAAAATGGCAAATATTAAAAACAAAGATAGAATCTTAAAGGAAGCAAGAGAGACAAAAAGTTACCTACAAGGGAGCTCCCATTAGACTGCCAGCTTATTTCTCAATAGAAACACTGCAGGCCAGAAGAAAGTGGCATGAAGTATACAAAGAAATGAAAGGCAAGGGTCTGA